ATAAAGAATTAAACGGATGTTTGACAATAGTATTTGACTATGTAGAAGTACATACTGACGATCTTCAGGCTTGACAACTAGGATAACTAAAAAATCAATCAGTTATGATATGATGAAAAGGAAAAGTCAACTTTCGGTTGATTTTACTCATCATGAGTTTTGTTCAATTGTACTTCCGTTTCGATTCAATGTAATGATTACTCAACGTAGTACTTGTTATTGTCTCGTATTCCATTGACGTGAACTATGCTCAGATGTGATTTGTATATATGTGATTTCATACTAATTATTAATGTATGAATCAATATATAAATGAGTGTATTTTCTACTAGAGTCGTCGTCATCGTCGTCGTCGTGTTTGGGGTTAACAAATCATCACTTATACCAGTCTTTGGTGTTCTTACTATCGCATCGTGGGAATTGCAGAGGTCCCTCGTTTGAGTATAAGTGATAAGCGTTTCCCATATAATAATCAGCGACGACCAGTTATGAAAAGTAGCATTAAAAAGCGCCAAGACAATAAGCATTCAAACGACAAATAGTACTATTGATGTTAACTGTTTTATTCCCTACCAATTTAATCCACCATTTGTATTTGAATGCACTTTGTTCTTTTAATGTTACTTAACAACAAATAAGTAGATAATAAACTTTTCTATAACTTTATAAATGTCATACTTAAATCATGTAATTCGCTTTGTTGAAGCATAGCGCAGATCACAAAGCTATAAGTAGACCAAGCAAATTTGAAGCGGAGTGGTGATTAAGTATATGTGAGCAATTACATAGGTAAATTTATAATCAGATTGCATAAGGCGCAGTAAGGCAAAACAAAAGCTAATAATAGGACTTGAGTACATACCTACAAGTGGAAAAGGATGATGAATCATTGAGTGATATTTAAGTAAACAACATTTTAGCTAGAGTCTTTCCTCTAGTCTCTCTAGTGATCATTACTTAGGTTTGAATAATTTTTTCTAGTTAGCGTATTCTTAGCGAGTTAGTTTTCTGCGGGATGGGGTCGCTAACCGAATGCCTAACCCTTCTCCTTTATCCGGGCTTGGGACCGGCAGTAGCCCCCGGAGGGACTCCAGGCGGAGTGATCATAACGGTACAAAAAAATATGCAAATTGTTACTAATCAAATAACACTGTCTGTTAAGTTAGTGAATCAAAATGGTTTAACCAGAATTAACTATAAAGGAAATTGGTTATAGATTAGTTGCTATAGGCTTGTTAGAAGTAGTAGTAAAACAATAAAAATAATTTACTTTCCATTGAAAAATAAGATATCTAATGATAATGAATGAGCAAGTGTATTCAAGCCATTAATTTTGAGCTGGGTTTGGACACCTTTAGTTTCATAATAGTTCACTAATGAGATTTATAAGTTGATCGGATATAAACCAGTATGTTCTATGCTGTTCAAATTTAACAGACATGAATGATTATGGGTTTTAAAACTTTGAAAAACGGTTACACAATATGCTGCATTTGTTTATAAGTATGACTTTCATTTCTTCCTCGATTATATTTACATATTATATTTTGTTTGAAATCATGAAACCGATTGATGTTTTGTACTATTGTGGGACCCCTCAGCAGTGCACATCCACGATCCTTATCGCGGGGTTAGAGCCCAGAACTTTCGGTCTCGTGCGTGGACGCTTAACCTCTAGACCGCTATTAGTTATACTATTGAAATATACTGAATACTTAATTTCATTTCTAACTATTTTGATTAAACTGTACATCATGCATTCTTGTTTATAATTATTATTATTAGCTTTATTCAATAGTATATTTTTGATACAACATAGAATTCGCCGCACAAAGTACTTTAACAAGTTTCCTTTTCTTATGCGTTTTTTATAACCTGTACAGTGAAATGATGTAATCTTTTCATAAACGTGCCTGAATAGGTTGTACGCTCAATAAACATATCGAAACAAACAAGAAAACAGATAACTTGTTGAAATATCTAGACGACAGGAACAGTTAGTTCGGATATTCAAGGAGGCCTTGAACTCACTTTCTACTATTTATTGTATTATTCTTGAGTATTTCTACAAGATTTCTTATACCCTAGTTGGAATTGTGTAATTCTTTTAACGATACTTCTCATTTTCAGATATTCATTGAACTTTTGTTTGATTGTAATGAATTCCATTTTCGCCATCTAAAATATCGTTTCATTCGGTAACAGTCATAATGTATTTTATATTGGTAACTAGCAGTTGTTTAGACTGTCCTATGTTTATAAAGAATCTTTACAATACTGTTCTTGTTTCATATTCAGATTTACATAGCCCTGTAGAAACCTCAATGGTTGAAGTTAATTATTATTTTGTAATTATAATACAAATCTCCAGAAAATTCATTAGTTTTGATTTGAATTTACCAATACCCTAAGCTATTGCACTAGGGGTTTCGATACAATTAACATAACTTTCAACAAGACAAGGATGAAAATAGTAATTACTTACTTACTTACTTACGCCTGTTACTCCTAATGGAGCATAGGCCGCCGACCAGCATTCTCCAACTCACTCTGTCCTGGGCCTTCTTTTCTAGTTCAATTCAATTTTTGTTCATTTTTCTCATGTCTATTTCCATTTCCCGGCGTGATGTCTTCTATGGTCTACCTCTTCTCCTTTGGCCTTGAGGATTCCATGTGAGGGCTTATCTTGTGACGCAGTTGGCTGTTTTCCTCTATGTATGTCCTATCCACTTCCAGCGCTTCTTCCTTTTTTCTTCCTCCGCTGGGATCTGGTTTGTTCTCTCTCACAGTTGGTTGTTGCTAATAGTGTCCGGCCAACGGATCCGAAGTTATTTGCGTAGATAACTGTTAATAAACACCTGTATTTTCTGGATGATGGCTTTTGTAGTTCTCCAGGTTTCTGCCACATACATTAGAACTGGCTTGACATTTGTATTGAAAATCCTGACCTTGGTATTGGTTGACAGTTGCTTTCAGTTCTAGATGTAATTATCGAACACTATTTGTTTGACTTATCATCTAGCCAAAGTTATTCAGTATAAATTAAAGTAATTAAACTGTTAAATATGTCAGAAGAGGTTTTTTTGGATATGATAGTAATTATAATTGTTGAGTTCATCAGTCAATTGAAGCTAGACTACCATGGAAAACCTGGAATCACTGGATAACCGTTTCGACCTAATGTAGGACTCCTTCCCAGGTTTTTCATCGTTGACTAACTTCAATTGATTCATGATCTCAACCATTAAACTTGTTAAATATGTATTTAGAATTTAGTAAATTCTTGATTTCTCTGATCTCATCTCATAAATTACTGTTATTATTTTTTTTTTATAGCTTCCTTTTAGATTATCAAGTAGACAAAGTTTTACATTAATGCTGCGTTATTCAGTGGATTATCTAGCTGATAATTTAAAAGATGTAAGTTTAAAGAAGATTATTCGAATTCATGCTTACCAGCATAACAATACAAAATAGTAGTAGATAGTAATTGTAATAAACTTGGAACCTCTTAACGATATTAACTTATAAGTGACGATACTACTTTATTGTAAATTAGTCGAAGTTGATTACGTGAACCGACTATATTCTATCTAGGAAAAGATCCAAAAGTATAAGATTTTATCCTGTGTATTATGTCATTGATGTAGTGTACTTTTGAGATGTCAGAAGTTTAATTTGTTAGGCAATTGTTCACTTGCTAGATAGTTTCAAGGAGTTTTATAGCTAACAAATTCATGAATTCACTGACAAGTGAACTGAGCCGTGTTGGTAGATGTAGACTACCTGGTTCTAGGGATCCGCGAGGTGATTGCAACCGATGGTTAGAGATCGTGAATGACATGGCTGAAATTCGTTCGCAATGGTGCAGGTGCATCCATTCTTTGTGTTCTCTTAAATTCTAATCTTCTGAATTCTTCATGTCCCTTCTTTTTTTCACTTCTCAAATTTGTTTCATTGGATCATACTCCTTGAATAACATCTTCAAACCCTAATCTTTCCAATTAATGCTTATACTTTTACTACCTTTACCACTATGGGATTTAAATCGACAATTGTATCTGTGTGTTAATGTGGTATGACAACTTGAACTGATCTATGTACGTACGAAGTTCTACGTTGCTGCTGACTGACTGATAGCTAACACCATCTTTCAAACAATATTATTGTTTTATAATAGTTTTAACTACTACGAATGAATATTATGAAATCATATCAACTGGAAAATGCCTGTAAACTAGAAAATGTTGAGTTATCATTTCTTTCTAGCAGTCTATACAAATAAAACTCAGTTCTACTTGAAGAAATAAATGGTAGTGTATGATGAGAATGACAATTAAACCTGAAGTTAGACTATTAACCTCAAAGAATCCGATTCTTTAACATGGAAATTCATGCTGAAAAGCTCCATTCAGTAACTTATCTCTTACTTACATTCATCTCATAAATTCCATACATTACAAAACAATAAAGATGTCTTCCCATTGAGGTTTAAGACTGCAACTGATCAGTCTGTTATTGGTATATGTGAATACTGTGCGTATGCCTTGATATTGCCTTAATTCACAAGCGTTTTATAAGTAATGGTGAATAGTGGCTAGCCAAATAATACCAAGTGAATAAACATGTCTTGTCGATTACTTTTCATAATGATCTTATCAATCTTTTCCAAGCGTAAAAAACATTTTTCGATGTACAACATGTTAAGGGATCTATCAGTCTAGATCTGATTCCAAAGAACCATTAGTCTGAAGTATCTCATCAATGCTTGAATACTTTCACATCTGTTAACCACTATTTGTCAGATTATGTTAAATAAAGAGTGGAAACAATCCAAGACTAGGAAGTTTCATTGATTGATTTAAGAAAATTAGTAAATGGTAAACCAACGAAATCGCATACGATTGTAATCAATCCAACAAAATAATAAATAAACGACCAAAATGTACATTCATTAAGAGTTATGTTGAATATTCATAGATTAGGTCTATGAAAAACTCAATCGAAACTGATAAGTGTCAATGTCGAAGGTCAGGTATCCGTCTCTCAATTAAGAGACGAGTATACTGCGAAGCAGTTTGTTCTGTTCCACTTTAGGGCTGCGAAATGTGTCTATTTATAGTAGAAGATACTTGTAAGCTATAAGTATTTGACCACAGATGCCTTAGAAATACAGTTCGCATCTGCTGAGATCACCGGGTAAGTAATAGTGAGGTTAGACACAGGGTATTGGGGAACGATGGTAATTCAGTTGATGAGCTTGTAAATCTTCATCGACTGTGATGGTTGGGTTACGCGTTACGTATTCCTGAACACCAATCACTATGACGCGCAATCGTGACTAGTGTCGAGGATGGTTGGAAGAAAGTTAGGAGCAGCCAAACCAAAACGTGATACCATTCCTGGAAGTCACTAACTTCTAGTCTTCTAGTCCGCGTTACTATCGCAACCAATGGTTGGAGACTCTGGGTAACATGGCTCAGAATCGATCACAATGGCGTAGGTGTATATACTCTCTATCTTCCTTTAAACTACGAGATTAAAATCGCTTCATATCTTTCTTTCTACAAACTAATTCTCTCATACTGTATCATATCCTTATATGCTTTCTTTCTTTATATATTACCACCATTGAACCAACTACTTCTATGAATCCAGTGTTCATCTTGTTGTTTTAATGAAATGTGGCAACTTAGACCGATGCATATATGTGCCTGATTCTGCATTGTAGCTGACTAACTGACTGACGTGTAGATCCATGAATTCAGAAGTTACATTTTTTCACCATAGATTAATATTAGCTGGGGAATGACTTGAAGCTAAGATGAACTGACTAATTGTTTCTCACATTTCATCTGTTTGTTTTTCTCTACAAGATAAATAAAGATCTTGGAAGAAAATTGAATTCAATGAATATGAATACAGCTTATCAATTTTATTTACTATTGAATAATAATTTGGATAATAAACAACAAAAAACATTGAAAATAGAATTACAAGATATGCTTGACAGTATATTAATTGAATTAACTGAAAAATTGGTAATTACTTTCATAGTTTGATTTCATATAAATGAATATAAGTGTAATGTAAATTTGAATTTGACTAGTTATCCTCTGAAGAAGTAGCATACACTGAGTCACGAAACGTTAAAAAATCTGCTTTTGATTGAGACTATGAACCGATTGATGTTGGACCATCATTGAAAACCTAGAAGCACTGAACGGCCGTTTCACCCTATTGTGAAACTCCTTAGCAACACACATCAATAATCCTACTCACTGGATTCGAACTCAGGGCCTTCAGTCTCGCAAGTGAACGTTTAATCTCTAGAACAGTTAGCCAGCCGGCATCCAACGGTATCAATGTCTAACATCAACCAATCCACGAAAATGTGCGACCATCTTCCATTGTACTGAGGTAGATACCTATCTCTACTCGACACGGATTAGGTCCACTGTTCACGGCTCTTCACTAGAACTCCGAGAATTCCTTCACGAAGATAGTCACTAGTGATCACATGACAATTGACAGTATAAGGTTTAAGAGGTTACTCAGTTTTTGATTGAGATCCCGTGAGCAGGATCATGGATGAGCAATTCTGAGAAGTCCAAGTTCTCAGTAGTGGTCTAAAATCAATCAGTTCATGTCCTCAATCGAAATCTAAAAATATAATGAATTATATGTATGGTTTTGCAGAAGTAAAATTTTACCTGATATCGCAATTAAAACCAACATAATATTGAAAATTATAAGGGTCATTAGGTGTTATACTTTGCACTAAACAGTATGTTGAATTGAATGCATTGAATTCCTTCTGACAGTTCATGTAAGTTTATCACATTATAGTAATTAAAAGCTATTGAGATATTATAGATGAAGGGTTTGAAATACAAATATCATTTAGATTTTAATGATATATATATATACTAGCTTCTTTCGGAACTACACACTGATAAACTTGCCTAGAACAGCAGAGAGAATGACATATTTTAACAGGTAGAGTAAATACTTTGCTTCAACAATTATGAAATAAAGAATGGAAATCAACTCTTCTCTAGTTCAATAACATCAGCTACATGAATTGTGACTACAAGTTTGATTAAAGGAAGCAAAAACAACTAATTATAGACAAGGATTTGTTATATCCAAGCGAAATTGAATTACAAGTAACGTCTGAGACTTATTAATGGTATAAATATTCAGTAGCTAGATTATGTATATCTGTATTCTCCTTGTTATAAGCTTTATTTTCACCTATAGACTATTATTATACGATTTACTGGTCTTAAGTTATGTTCAGTTTATTGACTACTGCCTCCCACGTTCACAGTCACATTTTGCCTTTGTGTAGAAATGTTATTTCCTATTTTATGGTGCCTTGCGGTCTGCTTGATTGATATATAAACCCAGTATATCTGACATAAATGATTCGATTCGACTCGATTCTCATAGTGGAAGCTGGTATTTGGTGTTCTGAACTCAAGTGAACGAGCTAGGCGAACATAGAACCAATAAGGACGCTAGGCTGCTCATACCGATCAAACATCATTGGTTTAGCACAGTGCTAAGGTTGTATAAGTCGTATTTTGATTGGTGGATAAATCACGTGAGAAAAAGCCGGACATAAATATATAACAGGATTGAATATGAACAAATCTTCTAAAATGAATGGAAATAATGAGACGATATAATAACATTTAGATACCAAAAAGGAATTGTTTTGATCATTAGTGGAAACAAATAGACTATGATATAGTCAGATTTCGGTAGGAAAATGAATTTAACATGAAACATAAGGGATTACAAAATAGTATAATTTTAGCCCGGGAACCTTCTGTAGTTACTGTCGATTCCAAGACAGGGTAGCAATCCCATCGTGTAAACAGAAAAGAGTCTTCATATAAAAGGAATTTTGAGAAATACAACTCAAACAAATCTTATGCTGATTTAAAAAGTAATTTCTCAATGAATATTCACTAAAATCCTGAATTTCACCCTTAATTGATTGATAAAGAATACTCTAGTCAAGATTAAGTTGTAGTGAATTAGCTTCGTTATTCAATCATCTTGATAACTGTTATTATACAGATCTCCAATGGTGTTTGAAATCAGCAGGCATTATAAAGCGGCGACTACAGTTTATTAGCTACAAGCACTTCGACCGAAATTGAAGCAGAGAAGTGAATGTGCGTGATCGCGAGTAAATACAGAGGTGAATTTTGTAGTCAAATCGAATTAAGGCGAAAGCAATTAGTAAGATTCGAGTCTATATATTCAAAGGGGAGAGGAGGAGTCATCCAGTGATATTTGAGCTATCAACATTTAAGCTAGAAAGAGATATGTGTGAGTAGGCTGTCACATTGTAGTGAACAGAACATGTGTGGGGACAGTTGGATGTATTTAACACAAAATCACAGAACTTGTTAATAAAATCTAACAATGATAAAGTAAATGCTTAATTTGCAAAATGTCCACCAATTGTCTCAAAATGACTCAGACTTCATTGTTCTTGCATGTTCATACAAATTTCATCTTGTTTCTATTCTTTACTGTTCGATCCTGTTGTCTCTCTGCTGCCAGACCTTCTGTTCAGGACTAACATCATATACCACTTATTTTAATATAAGTAGCACACACCACAACATGTGATCATCAGTATCATAATAAAAGACAAATTGTTACTATTCAGATTGCACTGTCTGTTATGTAAGTGAAAGACTATAATTTATGGACGAATCAATCAGATATACGATAACAGGTTTTCAATTTCGACATAAACTTAATTCTCACTGATCGAAATCATGAGTCAATTGAAGCTAGACCATCATCGAAAACCTGGAAGCACTGGACGGTTGTTTCGTCCTATTATGGGACCTTTCTGATAAAATTAATTCATCCATTTGACTAAATTAAAGTTTTGATATTATAGCTGATGTTACTTCGTGATGAAAACCCTAAATCTTTATAGCTAACCCTAATTATCAACTGTAAATATTAATTCTTATGCATCATATTGGTTTATAACCCTGATTTAGCTGTAGTATGTAGGTAGACATTCTCATGGTCTTTTTAACGTCACTCAAACTTACTTACGTCTGTTTCTCCTCGTGAAGGAGAATAGGCCGTTCACCAGCATTAAACATCCAACACTGTCCTGGGCAATCTTTTATGGCTCTTTCCAGTTCTTAATCATCCTTTTCATATCTGCTTCTATCTCTTGAAGTAATGTGTTCTTTGGCCTTCCACTTTTCCGCTTTCCTTCCGGATTCCAATTGAGGGTTTGACTGGTGATGCAGTTTGATGATTTCCGAAATGTATGTCCTATCCATTTCCATCGTCTTTTCCTGATTTCCTCTTCAGATGGAAGCTGGTTTGTTCTCTCCCACAGAAGGCTGTAGCTGATGGTATCCGGCTAATGGATGTTTAGTATGTTGCGTAGAAAACCCTTTATAAATACTTGTACCTTCTTGATGGTGGTTGTAGTAGTTCTCCACGTTTCAGCTCCGTACAGTTGAACTGCCTTGACGTTCGTATTGAAGATTCTCACTTTGATATTGGTTGAAAGTTGTTTTGAGTTCCATATGTTCTTCAATTATAGGAATGCCACCCTTGCTTTGGTAATCCCCAACTTTACGTCTGTATCTGAACCTCCTTGTTCATCGATGATGCTTCCTAGGTATGTGAAGGATTCTACATCTTCCAGAGTTTCGCTATCAAGAGTGATTGAACTGCTGTTCGCCGTTCTGAATTTGAAGACCTCGCTTTTCCCTTTGTGTATGTTGAGGCCTACTGATATATAGACTGTTGCTACACATCACTCAAAGGTCATCTATAAATAAATAATCTCATCTAATTAGGTTAAAGAAAGTGTTTCATCGGAAATGAACCATAATTGAAATTGATTTTATGATAGTGCTATAAGATGAATGCACATTCTGAAATATCTTCAATTTATTCTATCTTACACCATCAATTAATAAAGGATTATTATAATGGATTCTTTTTTTAAATCATATTTAGTCTGAGAAACCATTATTTGCAATGAATAACAATTCAACTATTTATATGATGTTGAAAAAGGATCAAGTTTATCCGAAAAACTATTTTATCACATAGAAAAGGTAGGTTTATGATAATTATGTAATTAGAATATTTTATAGCTACATTTGACATTTGTAACTGAGATTGAATTTGATTGGAATATGATATGCTTGAATGCTATTACGGGTTCATCTTACTTGGTAAACGGAACAAAGATCAAAGATACAATGATACGATAGGCTATTCTAATTTGTTATCTCCAGCTCTGCTAACTAAATCAAGAAGTCTTGATAAGGCATAGAGAATGTTTTCTACAAGCATCCAGAAAATACGAGGTCACTAAGTACACAAATCAAGCTTATTTATATAATGATAGAAATGCCCTTGGGAGTGCCAAAAAATAGCGTAATAAAAAATCCATCAACCAATGACAGACAAGGATTTCGTAGTGGGAAATATAAGCTGTAGGTCAACTAAGCATCTCTTGGCGCGAAAACATAAAATTCAAATTTTCAGAATAAATTAGGACCTTTTCCAAGTGAGTTCTGAGGATCTAACGTCCTCAACAGAATAGCACTTAGAACAATCATATGGTAACATGCTCACATAATGTAACGAACTCGGATTAATCAGACTGAGAAACAGTTAAACATAAGAATTCCAAGTAGATGTAGCTTTTGTAATTTTACTGAATTATACTATGAATGAAACAAAAATAAAGTCAGTTTTATTGAAAAAATATTTTGTAAAATAACTACAAAAGTTTATAAGTAAAGATGGTTAGTGGTGAGAAGTGGAGTCTATGATGCGTGTTTCGTCTTATTCAGGACTCGTCAGCTGGATGTGCCTGCACCTCAGAGTTGGTGTTCACTTTGGGACTCGAGCCCAATACCGTTTGCTTCAAACGTCATTGCATTATCCACTTACCTACTGAGTCTTGATGGCTACCTGCTTGCAGAATGTAGTGAAGTTTTAAATTCACTTGGTGTTATTTTACTTGAATCTTCCGATTGTTATTTAAAACTGTATTTGATCAGTTTCTTTTTGGCACATGTGCATCCTGTGAGGACTGCCTTGATATTACCTTAGGTCACAAGCTTTATAAGCAAAGATAGATAGTGGCTAGCAGTGGAATCCAGGACGCACATACCAACAAGAGACTAATCAACTACACTTATTATAGTTCACTAACACGGTCCACTTATTCACATAGATCATAGGTACTATTGTTAAGTTTGTATTGTTCCTACTCGCTCCCTTTCCATTCTTTTGTATATTGTTTTATACTACTTATTTATATACAGTAAGCAGTTGTATTACCAACAATTCTTAAAGTTGTGTTGTAACGCAAGTTGGAGTGTAATAATCTGAATTGTTCACATATACTTATAACATTTATTGTACTTATCATTGTATTTATCATTAAAATTACTGTATCTTAATCACTGTAGCGGTTATCCACAGTTTTGTGCATTTGTTTAAACGCAACAGTTTCCATATTGTTTTGCTCTTGGTTCGGGTTTCGGTTGTTCGTAAACTGTTATTAAATTTAGACACAGCTATCAGCTGTCCTTTGTACTATCGAAGCCTTTTTATTTTCATACTTGAAGGACGCGTTTAAACGCCTCAGACACCTCACAAGTTGAGAACCGCTATTGTAGACAAATCGTTGTTTTGGAAACTTCGGTTTTGCGCGTATCTCAATCGGGTGACTTGGACGCTTCGATAGATCTAACAACTATGTTATAATGCAGGACAGTAATATTTCCTTTTAAACTATTTACATAATCCAGAAAAAATGACTAAGCTAATGAAAGAATCTGTATAATGATATTTAGAAACCTACCTGGTTCTAGTATATAGATTCATGAACATCTTTTTCAGGAAATCCATCTACTCATTACCGTTTTCTATCAATCTTTCTAATCAATTCACAGTATAGAACATTTTTAAGTTTATATTTTCTTTCAAAAAATAATATATTTGACTTGAATTCAAAATGGAAAACTTGTATAATTAGAAGTATATAAATTGAATAAGTTATACCGATTCTATAAACGAATAAATATGTAACCAGGGATCAATTTATGGATTGAGTTTTAAGCTAATGCACTGACGTTTTTAATCACTAGGCAACAGGTTTGAACCCATATCTCTCCAACTTTAGTTTGTACAAAGTAATATTATGTAAAGTTCTTATATGAAAAGTGATTCGAAGCTGAATGCGAGAATACGTTCTTGGTAAACGGATTTTTGTAAAAGGTTATCACAATTGATTGATCACTGGTTGGTGACCAATGTCATGTGTGTCAAGTCCTTATTATTAGTGCAGATCGAATGCTATTGAACATGATGCAATGTGACCACTAGTCTAGGTGACTCCACACTGCGTGCAATATTGTGAGATTAGATGATGGTTGGAGGTAATCGATAGGAAACCCTGAACCCGGGTTTTGTGCTACTCAGCACTCATCAGCAAGGTGTACCTGTAATCTTGAGGGAACTGGTGCTCCCTGACGGATTCGATCCCATGTTACCCAGCTTCACAGTCAGAGACGTTACCACTGAGCTATCCGGGCCGCAACCAACCTCCTGTAGAACTGAGATGTAATCACAATTGATTGATCACTGGGTGGTGACCAATATCATGTGTGTCAAGTCCTTATTATTAGTGCAGATCAAATGCTATCGATCATGTAAAAGTTTAACACTGACTGAATACTTGATTGTTACTATATGTAAAGTCTAATGAAGATAAGATAAAATATTAGTAAAAACTGATGATAAAACTTATAGACAATTAGTCTTAACAGCTAGTTTCATTAATTCTGTTTCTAAATTCATTCAATCTTGTATTTATACTGAGAAAATCATCTTACGAAGAGAAGGATTGATTGTGTTATATCCTAGCGAAGATCAAATTGAGGATAACTTCTGTGGACTATTAATGGACTAATATTGCATATGTATATTCTTACTGCATAATTATTCAGTAAATAGATTATATATATCTATATTCCTCTTATTCTAAGCTCCAGTTTGACTTATAAACTATTATCGAACGATTTACTGTTCTTAAGTTATGTTCAGTCCATTGAGTACAGTCTCTCATGTTCACAGCCCACATGTTGGCTTGTTCTCGTATAAATGTTATTTCCTATTATATAGTGCGATATGGCCTGTTTGATTGGTATATAAGCCAAATATGTTTGAAATAAATGATTTGCATAGTAGAAGCTGTTATTGACATTCTGGACTCAACTAGCAGGACCAGGAGGAAAAAGGACCATTAAGGAAACGAAGCTTCTCGTACCGGTCGAACGCTATTGGTTTGGCATAGTACTATATTGAATAAGTCATATTTCGATCAGTGGGTAAATCACGTGATAACAAGCTGGGTTTAAAGGCATAACAGATTTCTTCTGAGATGACTATTTGTACGAAAAGTCCTTAATCTTTTATCTTTTAACGTTCGATTAAGTTATTATCACATATCTAATGTTTAATCAATCACCTAAGTTGATATAACACTATGTATAAAGGTGAAGTATTAACAATCAAACAATGTTTATATCTCAATTCTATTTCTATACTACTAAAGTGAAATAAGCATTTAATGGACAAAAACGATCTATCTGAACAAATCAATGATCTAGTATAGTTCAACTGCTTTAGAATCTCATTTCCCCATTTGATTATGAAATAGATTATCCATTATATTTATTGGCCTATGCTCCTCTACAAGGAGTAACAGGCGTATATAAGTAACATCTTTCTTTTTCTCTCCATTATGAAATTGAATTCATCTCATTGTTTATTCATACTGAACAGACTCAAATTAATTTAACTGAAACAGGAATGATACGTACAATAACTTTATATGAAACTAAAATACTGATATTTGGTTTAGTATTTCTTCGAGCTTTGATTGCAAAAGTAAGTAAATTTTCAAGTTATGATTTATACTATTGAATTATATTTAAAAGTAGTAAAAACATTCATCGGCATATTTTGAATTTAACTAACCAAATTTACATTGAATTCATTGGTTAGAGATAAGATATATACTGGGGAATAATTTCATTTCCATGAAACAAATGTAAAGTATAAATACAATGGTGCGTTAATTCCGGTAAGCTCATACTGTTCCTCTGGTATAATAGTGATATTTCTATTTCTCAGTAGCTTACCCAAATAATGTAACTTAGATTTTATGATCGAACAAGCAAAAACCTCAAAAGGAACATACAAAAATTGACATTTATTTAAATTAAACACAAGAAATAACATGTAATAATGTAAAGACAAATAAAATCAAAACAGTAAGGGAAAGACCGGTAAATTCGGGGCTTTCTGTTAGGTTATCAGTTAACAGGAAGGTTCCGGGTTCGAATCTCTCAATAATCTTGCAATAACTAGACTTTCAGTCACCAGTCTGAAGGTTTGTACACTGGTTCAATTAATTTGATCTGATTATTAGAATAATGACAGAGGACGTTAAACGTAAAATGTCCAACCCAAAGTTAAGTACATGAAACTCAAGATGTAGAGGAGCATTGTCAGACTAATTAAAGTACTTGACTTTTGCTCATTATGTAATAAGTTCAAAATCTATTCAGTTTAATTTAGTTTCTGAATATAGGTGGAATCATTCACCTTCAAGCAAAATGTATATCACAAAGCAGAGTAAAAATAATTTATCTGCAATCATTAAACAAATTCATCTTCAATAGATTACAACTAGGAATTCTTCGCTTAGTTTATTAATTGATGTCATTTCTTGATTGGACATACTCAATAAATTTATTCAACCTACACTATTGCCAATCACCTATTTCATGTATTAACTGACTCGAGTATGATTGAATCATTAATAATATTAATTTATGTTAATGTAAATCCTGTTTACTTCTAATACATTTTACTAACAAGTACCATTAACAAACAAATAAATGTAGGATACGAAGATATTTGAGGAATGTTACATTTTTATCTTATTTATTTATTTTAACACATAGATACTGTACAAGGAGGCACCAAATACATATGCGCCACACAAACCTCATTTGATATGTGTGAGGGCTGTGATACTGCCCGGCGTCCAAACCGAAGCAGGCACATTTTTTGGGGTACCTAGCCTTTCGCATGCCCTGATGGTGTTCTCGTAACCTTCGGGTTGCCTGATCTGCCAAGGGCGATGGGACAGTGCATGATGCTATTGCTGTGTGCTAGGTTCAAAGAGAATTGTATTCTATATGCATGAAAATCCGCCCCATTATTGTTCCTGTTTTAAAGTCGGGGACCATACCACGTTGAAAGCATTAGTTCTCGCCACTTTTATCTTACAAACGGTGACATTTTCAGCGACGTTTCGTAAAATGTATTTGTTAAGTTTGTCTTACATTGTTCCTATTCATTCACTTTCTACTCTTTTGTATATTGTTTTATACTACTTATTTACATTCAGTAAGCAGTTGTATTACCAACAATTTTCGCACTTATATTGTAACGCAAGTTATACTGTAATATTCTGAAATGTTCACATATATCTTTAACGTTTATTGTACTTATCATTGTATTTATCATTATAACTACTGTATCTTAATCACTGTAGCGGTTATCCAAAGTTTTGTGCATTTGTTTAAACGCAACAGTTTCCATATTGTTTTGCTCTTGGTTCGCTTTTCGGTTGCTCATAAACTGTTATCAAATTTAGGCACAGCTATCAGCTGTCTTTGTACTATCGTATGTTATAATTATTCTTTGTGTTACTCTTGCAGGAAGCCTGTGTTGTTTTCATTCTTGAAGGACGCGTTTAAACGCCTAGACACCTCACAATTTGAGGTTTGTTACTAAATTTTGTGTATTATTTAATAAAGAACAGCTATTGTAGACAAATTGTTGTTTTGGAAACTTCGGTTTTGCGCGTATCTCAATCGGGTGACTTGGACGCTTCGATGGATCTAACAGTATTACTACTTACATACTATCATCTATTCTTATAAACATACATAAGATGAGAGTTCATTTGTATTAAAAATAAGAATTGAATAAGCAATATTCTAAGTTTTGCCATTAAAAAATACCATTACTTACATGACAAGAGAAAATGGAAATATGTTCAACTACATTATTACATTTTTGAATAATCATAATTCTGCTTCCTTTTAGTTATTTCTAGGTTTTGAATTAGGCTTATCTACTACAGCAATGACATCAAGTAAAATATCAGTAAATAATAAATTACTTGGATCAATTTGTACTTATATTTATCGAAAAATTATGGTTGACATTATTAGTGAACGGACTCGAACTACAGACTTGGTAAGTTGCTAAGTATTTGTTTATTACATTTCTATACTCTAAGAATTTTCTGTAATTTATCTGATTCTATCTTCTTATATTATAGAAGATCATGAATACTGACCTAAGGATAAGTGATTTGAATCGTCAAGGGCATAGATAATCTTCAGATCATGGAATATTGTCATGAACCTTCAAACTTAGACGACTTGCATAATAATGGTAAAAGCATATCAAGGAGTTGAGTTAAAGAAGATAAATAATAACACGATCTTAATAGGCGAAATTTTTATATATTTCGACTTGGTATAGTTTATTTGGATCGTCCCATTGATGTTTAAGACTACAATTGATCAGTCTCTCATTGGCATATGTGCATACCGTGTGTATTGCCTCGATATTACTTTAAGTCACAAGCATAATAAAAAATATGGATGGCGGCTAACAGTGAAATCCAGCATGAACGTTTCGTCCTGAATTGTACTCGTCAGCTGGATAACTTGATGGCATTCGAAGCGACTGGTACTGGTTTGGAGTCCTGGAATGAACATGAACTCTGACATGCAGATACATCCAGCTGATGAGTCCCATTAATTATTTCAAAAAGTTGATCAAGGTCATTATGAATACAAATGCCTTGGTACGGCCGAGAGTGGGGAGAGTTAGCTCTCCCACTCGAAATGCTCTCACATGGCCACGTGCATACAACCACTGATAGGGAAATCTTAATCACTGCCTTCTCGCGACACCGGTGTTTTTTACGGAATCGAGAGGACGAAAAGAGAATGTTTGGCGCCTCAACCGGGTTGGTGGATATGTAGAATCCATTGAGAGGAGTTGAAAACCATGATTCCAAACCAATGGTGCACCGAAATCGCCATACTAGATTAGCATGATATGATAAAATCAAAGAAATGCAATAGCAATGAAAATAAAAGAAAGCTTAAACCGTAGGGATAGGTTTAGATAAGTCAAAATGTGAAGGGATATATGAAAGGATACTGGTATTTAAAATAAAGAGGAAGACAGAGTAAATCCATCTGTCACCCAAAGTCTCCAACCACGTAGTTTGCTCAGATCTACAGTCAATGACGTGATTTACCGATAGCCCGTAAGGTTTGATTTGACCAGTAGTGTTTGAATAAAAAGCCTCCACAAGGTTCATGTACTTTTTTCGATGAAAAATATTGCACAGGATCTCTTGGTTAACACAATAGAATGGCGTCCTATGGTCAAGAGATACCACTAAATTAGCGCATCGATAATTATCCTAGTCCTAAAACGTTATTGGGGGGAAGTGGTAGATATTTGGTCTACACATTCAAGTCCAGGAATCAAACTAGCCTGATCTTCACGGATTTGTGGTTCATGGGCACCATATAAGCGTCAAAACTCTTAGTATATTATTCACACTGACCTACCAGTGGCTGTGGCAAAAAAGTATTTATACTTTCTTTTGAACTGGGACTATCAGGGCCAGTCATATGAGATTATGCCCAGTTACAATACTCTACCTAGTATCCTAGTCAAATTAACCGCCAAAACTAGACCACCAGCCTCGAAGATCAAAGGCATTAATCCATTAAAGCCTGGTGCAGTCCCTAGCTTTAGATTATCTACAGCCTTTCTAACCTCATTACGAGTTGGGAAACCTGTCAAATTAGCAATAGGGTTGATTGAAGATAAAGAGTTACGGGAGGGTATTTGGACGTCTATTGAGTTGTCCCCTAAAGTACTCTGCTCATATATCTAACCTATGTAAGAAAAAGGACAACAGATCTATCCTTTTCCGAGAGAACATTACTAAAACTTCTCTATTTATTATCAGTCACCTTCTTCAGCAGGTAGATTTCCCTAGTATTAATCATCGCGACTTCTCTCTCTCTTCTTTGACTACCACCACTAACGATAAATATGCAAACCATTTGATAGTTTACTTTCGAGTTGTCGCTATCTTCAGGCACCAGCCGCTCACCTACACACTGGTCTACCTACGAGGCAACTTCTTCAAGTACACTGCCTTAGTGTACCCTCATTTGATAAAGTAGTAAGGGAATTCTTCAGGTCACCTTCGAGTAGGCATTGTGCATGTTAATGACCTCCGTTGGGTCACTAAAGCAGTTAAGTGGTTACATTTTAAAGCATTTTCTCACCCATTAAACTAAATGATAAACGTTGTTTTGATCAGTTATTAGTTCTACATTTTAGTTGGGTACTTGATCGATACTCATTTCTCGTGTTTCTAGCCAATACCAGGCGAATTACAAAATATGATTTTTAATGATACCGAAATGAAACAAATCTACGGTATGATTGGAAGAAGATACTTGGCAAACTTTATCGTAAGTTTAAATCTATGCTATGTGCATACGATCAACGTAAAGAGATAGCAACGGTTTTAGAGATAGTTTGATTCCAAGTCATTTTTTGTCAAATGTTGATGAGCTTTGATTGAGATCATGAATGGATCAATGCTAGACCACCATTAAATACCTGGGAACACTAGGCAGCCGTTTCGTTCTAGTATAGGAATACTCAGAAGTGTGCATCCATAATCCTGTACACGGGATTCAAAATCAGGATCCTTGGTCTCGCACGTGAAGGCCTAACCTCTAGACCACTGAACCGACATCCAACGGTGTTAATATCTAACTTCAATCAGGCCATGGTATTGCGCGACTGTCCTCCGTTGTCTTCAGTGAGTAACTGCCTCCCACCAGACACGGTTGAACTCCACTGATCACGGCTTCCCTAAACTGATAAAATATTGATGAAACAAACACCTGATACTTTAGACAATTTGTCAAGCCCTCATGGATTATCCTAGCTTCAGGAAAGACCGATTAATTTTCATGTCACATTCTGACTTTGTTGGTTATTTCTTTATATGAGCATACGTGTGTGCCGCTTCGTTTCGCTTCTTATTCTGAATATCTGCGTGGATAAACGTGAGCTTGAAATAAGTTCGTCCAACAAATCCCGTATTAAATTTCTTATTACTGCCGTTACACAAACGGGATTAGCCTAGGCAATATACGGAGTAAAATGGAAGATTTATGTTTACAGAATATTCATATCACCAAATCGAAAATCACAGCACCACAAATTGACATTATGATGAGATATTCATTCAATAGCACCGATAATAACTTTCTCACTCTCAACAGATGTTCTGAAAATCCATCTTAAAGCTGATCACTAGTGAAGATTAATATGACAAGACTTTAATTTATGGACGAACCAATCAAATATAAGATAATAGGTCTTGGATTTTGGCGCGAAATTCATTCATCCATTTGGTTAAATAGAGCTTTGGCATTATAGCTGATGTCAGTTCGTGATGAAACACTTTAGTTGTAATTCTTAACTCTAACTATCAAATGAAAATCATAATCTTAATTCTTCACATTGGCTTTTAAACCCTCATTTAGTTCCCGTTAGCAGGTGAACATTCTCCATATTTTAGCGTCCCTTTCAAAAGTCGTTCATAAATTAGTCTCACGGATAAGACTAACGAATTATAACAAAATATTTGGTAATGTATGGATATGTTTAATTCAAAGAATCGAGTCACGATTAGAATATCAGACAACAGTGTAAATCAAATCATCCATTCAATAAGAAGTCGACAACGTTACCTTCCATTTCCACCATACTAATGGTCTTTTAAACATTCTACATAAGTTTACAAATAATCATTTGAGTTAAACTAATCATTTTAATTTTCCTCATGAATTTTCTTTTTCTATAATTCAGGCAAAATGTAAACGTTGGCTTCAGGATTATGGTAGAGGAATATTGGCCTTGTAAACCATACAGCAACGTATCATACCTCATTATTACATAATGTGAAAACAAACTATTCTAATAAGCTGGATAACAAACCCTAATATATTTTGACTAAAAATGTACAAGTCATTGTAGTTGACTTCAAGTTACATTTCTATGTAGACTTGATCCTTAAAGAATGTCAAGTCTCGATCAGCAGGTTGCCAGTTCAAACTCTACTCTATTTAGTATGATTTAGGCATCTCTGTAGTGATAATACCAAGTTATATGTAAACTCTATGATCGAATAAGTTACTTAGTTATAGGTAACACAGAACCCAGTACATACGTATGTTGGTTCATGATGTTATATCACACCGAGAAAAATGACCAAGACAACTGCCAGAGAAGTAGAAGTTGTTGTACTAATAGCGGCAATAAAAAGATTCCGAATAAAAAAACATTAGTTGAGGAGAAATGGACCGTTAACTTATTTCGATTTAGTTATTGGCAGCTTTTATTTTAAACGTACTTTTAAAAACCGACCACATAGAGCATCGAGGTAGGTTGTAGTTAGACATATGTGACAAATGTTCCAACCACCTCGATCAATAAAGATTCACTGCTTCATCAACTCACTTATCATCTTAAACTTAAACTCAACATGGATCCATCTGAATGTCCCACAATATCTACCCTATCATCTAAAACTTCCAACCTATCCATGTCTTCTAATTTAGACGGACGTGTTTCCCGATCATAGAGTAGTTAAAAAGTAATATAATATATGTGATATATGTAGAGATATGTATTTATAGGAGGGATATATACTGTTCAAGGATAAAATAATAAAAGCTGAAAGTATAAAGAGGCAATATGATTACTAATTACAAGATAGTAGTTAAAGAGGAGAAATAATATGCATTACTCTTCTATGTGTTACCTATAACAATCCGACTGAAATAGGTTATAATGTTATCATCTTGCTTCATTTAACATTTCTTTCAATTCAACATATAAACGTTGTAAATGCAAATTGAGTGCAAATAAACTTAACAATTCTTTCGCTAATACAAGTCTCGACATACCCTATAGTTAGAAATGAAAGAATTAAAAAATAAAGATATAAAGATAAAGTGGTAATATAAATAAGATGTTGAATCGATCAATGTAAGACTGTCATTGAGAATCTGGAAACACTGAATAATCGTTTCGTCCCAGTGTGGAACTCTCATCAGCGGTGCCCGTGCGTGGTTGTGGATATACACTGTTAGGGAGACCCATACTAGTACAAAACGACTATTCAGTGCTTCTAGGTTTTCACTAGTGGTCTTACATTGATTGATTCACAGTCTCACGTATTTATTGTTGTAAGTTGAATGTTTTAAATACATCGAACTATCGCTTCATACATTAACGTTAAGTAAATCACATTGCTTGTTATTCTCTATTCCGATGTACAATTCATTATATTTAATCTTTACAAACATATAAACTGGATTGTTATTTTACAGTTTACAAGTGTAATATGATAAACGAACCATTGGCTATTACATGAATTCGCCACTGAACCATACATTTCTTTAATATAAAGGCTAGTGATGTTGGAGCTTGAGTGCTTAAACCAACATAAGTGAAGGAGACTATGGATGGGTAATTCAATAGTTGAAAATCGAGTATTTGAATCAATGAACCATCGTTTAACGAATCATCAAAACAAAAGTGGAATTATTTACACTTACTAGATAAGTTAAGAGATAGTTAGGTTTTAAGAGAAATAATAATCATGCGCTTAGCAATATATAAGATGGTAATGCATCTCTGTGAACTATATATCCTTGTTGCTGGGATTTGAGAGTTAGGTTTTCTTCAAGCCGGGATTCACTAACCGGATTTCTTTAAGTGTAAATACATTTATTGTGGCTGGGACCTGGTAAGTAGTGAACTCTACTAACTAACGGGAATGTAGTAGTTACATAAAATCAAATAAAATATATTATATAACCTGGAAAAACTATATAATACAGAAATGTGATGTCACTAGCTCACTGTGGAGACTATCAAGTACATGAAAGAAACTCAACGTCTTGTACAGACTGCCAGTCTCAAAAGTAGCCTGAATTATATTATTGACTGTGGTACTAAATGATACAAGTTCGGAATAGGACCCGTTCTCTAGAAGAAATATCAACATAATAAGTAAAGACGTCAGAAAACCCTAGAATACTCACCTTTACTTCAGACTGCCAAGTAGAATGTAGTTTGGTATTCGCCAGTACAGGACCAATGAGATCTTGAATTATTTGACGAACACGTTCTTCTTCATCTACAATTTACGCGAAAACATATGATAAGTATTTCTACTCAGATTGATCATCTACAGACAAATTATGCATTCAATCACAAAACTGCCCTAACGATGGTTTCTTTATACTCGTGAGATGCATAAGTGATTATGTTTTTGTGATAGAGTCACCAATCTTATGAAAAATCGATACCCAGTCGATTCAAAAAAGTCTACTTCCAACTTTGAATCTGTTCAATCATAGTGGAAAAATTGATAATCCGGTTGATCATGACAAATGACAACATCTACAGATTACTATCTATCTATGATGATGGTACTGGCTATCAGAACTCACGTAACATCATAAAAAAGTGAATAATGTTGGATGATCAATAAGAAAATATCGATGTTGTGAACGTTAGTTACAATTAGTGTTTAAGTAGATCAGAATTATATTATCATCACAACGGTCTAGGGTTTATTGAGCTTAATGATGAAGTATGTTGTTTTGTTTATGTTTTAAAAAACACGGCTTTCATCTTGAAACAGGCATAAATAACGAGGCGACTATAGTTAGACACACAAGGACTGACTGAGAGTCGTGATCAGATCATTCAGTAACAACGTAGAACTTCGTACGTACGTACATCAGTTCGAGTTGCCACACCACATTAGCACACAGATATAGTGGCCGATTCAAATCCCGTAGTGGTAGAGGTTATAAGAGTATAAGCAGTAATCGGGAAAATTAGCGTTTGGAGATGTTATTTAAAGAGTACAATACAGTGAAGTAAATTTGGGAAGAGAAAAAAAAGAGACAAGGAGGAATAAGGAGATCAAAATTTGGGAGAACACAAAGAGTGTATGCCACCTTTGCCATTGCAACCGATTTTGAGCCATGTCATTCAGGGTCTCTAACCATCGGTTGCTATCATCTCGCGGTCCCCAACCAGGTAGTCTACACCTACCAACATGACTCAGTCCACTTGTCAGTGACTTCATGGACTTGTGCCATGTTTTGGTCTGGCCGCCCTTAGCTTTCTTCCAACCTACTCCTATACCACTGAACATAGCACGTCGAGGCAGTCGGTCGTTGGGCATACGTAACACATGTCCCAGCCATCTCAACTGATGAAGTTTCACTACCTCATCAATTGATTTGCCATCCTTACCTAGTACCCGTTTCCTAACAACTGTGTTACTTACTCGATGGTCCCATGATATACGAGCAATGTTTCGAAGACACCTATGATCGAATACTAGTAACCTACGAATATCCTCTACTCTTACCGGCCATGTTTCACTACCATAAAGTAGGACGGGACGAACTGCTGCACAGTAAACACGTCCTTTGGTTGATAGACGGATATCTCGCCCACTCCATAAATAACGCAAGTTGGTAAAAGCTAGTCGAGCCTTCTGTATCCGTGCTGAGATTTCGTCACACACCAGACCACAAGGGCTGATGAGACTTCCAAGATAAGTGAAGCGATCGACACGCTCAATTACTTCACTCCCTATCATTAGTTCGGGTGTCAATGAAACCCAATCCTGATCAGATAAAGAAATCTACTGTTATCTATCATAGTAATTAATTCTTGAAACTGTTAATCAGTCACCCAACGAAAAGAATAATGGGAATGGTTGAGGTCAGATGAATAGATGAACTAATTTACTGTATCTGAAGCATGAAACAAGATACTGGTTTGAGGTAGTAACTTGATAAGATGTTGACGCTACGGCTTCAACAAGTTAAGGTATAACATTCTATAGACTGAAATTTTCAATCTCAAAAAAGGAATCGGGAGATACCACGTTGATAGCACAAAACGATACATACTAAAAGAGTGATTTCATCAAGAACGTATGTTCTACATAAGCATTAGATGCATCCAAAAACAAGTGATAACTCACTATCTTCAATGAGTTGACGGAACCAACGAGTTAGCCAATAGCGATATTCATTAGAAGATCCAAATGATAGCGCTAATTGAGTCTGAGATTCGAGGAAATTTTGATTGGAAACTTTACGACAAGAAGCCGAACTAATTAAAAATGTTAATAAATAGAATGAAAACAAAAAAAGCAACATCATTCATTGCTTGAAGTAACGAAAAAAATTGTAAATTTAGAACAACATATGTAAGTGAACAATATTGTTTTCGATTAGACCTTCATCAGGCTTTACTCTAATATACAGTAATGTATTTATATGCATATATGAAATTATTAAACCAATCAAGGTAGTTTATGAGTCAATGATAACAATGAAAACGATTACATAATAGTAAATGTACTGTGAAAACTCCACTTACCAAACAGCACCGAGATGCTATACATATGCTTAGAAAGGACAATACTCCAATCATAAGGAAGCCGGACAAAGGAGGAGGGCTAGTTCTTATGAACAAACCCGATTACATGAACAAAATGAACTCGATTTTGAAACTCAACGACGTGAAGGATATAAATATGAAGGCAGAAAAATTGCTGACTAACTCACTAAAGAAATTATAAAATAAAGGTATATTTACTCCTGACATACACGACTCACTCAAACCCACTGGATCGAACGCACCACGACTATATGGTTAATCTAAAATTCACAAGACAGGTCTTCCTCTTCGCCCAGTTTTAGATATGTATAATTCGCCTTATCATAAAACTGCGAAGTAGCTAGTTCGAATCCTAAATCTCTTAAACAAAATATTCGTCATCAGAAGCGTGAAAGACGTCTTCAATTTCATTTCTAAAG